AGAGTTTGGAGGCAACTGGGATGTGGTTCTTGAGAAGAATGTTGTGAATACCTTGAACTGACAGAAAAACTAACAATGATTACCTATAAATGGCTAAATGAAAGCAGAAGAATATATACAAGAAGGAGACAAAAAAAGTTTCTTTGGTCATGTGTTGAGAAAAGGAGCACTGGAAAATGTTGTGAGCGCTGGAAAGATCACTGGTAGAAGAGGCAGAGGCAGACCAAGAGAAATGATGGTGGTTGGCTTAAAACAGTGGTATGGAAGAATATCATCAGTGGAATTGATCCAGAACACTCAAGACTGAGATCTGCTGAGATGAATGAATACCTTCGCCAGCTGGCAAGGCACTTGATGATGATGAATTGTCAGACACGCACTTCTAAATTTGATCTGCCCTATTCATTTATTAGGTACATCTTTTCTCTTCTGGTTCAACTATTGCATTATTTTAACTCATTAGGATGCAAAAATTGTAACTCAAAATACCTAGGCTGTGAAATGGTCAGTGTCAAATTAATAACTGCTTGGGATTTAACTCTTTGAGTCTCAAGGAAAGTATCATGCATTCATAGGTTCCTACATAGAAACCCAATAAACGCAAGATGTGCTGATTTTAAGTCTCTCTTGACTTCCCCTTGGGCCTCTGATGATAAATCCCCTGGGACTCAGAAAGTTGGCTTATGCTGTGTTATTCCAGTACTGTCAGATTTCGCTAATTTTCTCCATTGTTTAACCTACAGTCGGATGCTTCTGTGACTACACAGGTGGAGGATGAATGGAGACTGCGTCGTCGTAGTGAGCGAATATTTCTCGGCGAACCAAGCCCTCAGTCCTCACCATCTCTTTCTCCATCACCGTCTGAACCTGTGTGGAAGCTTTCCAACTTCATGCCCAAGGGTAAGAGGGCACTGGAAGACAACAAATGTATAAAGGAATTTGATAAAGATGTGAGAAAAGCAGTTTCCTCGAAAGATCAGATATCTTTGAGTTCCCCACACGTTTCCTCTGTTTCATCTCCAACAGTGTCTTCCACTTCCACAGTGCAAGCTGAAGAGAAGGACTATGCCTCACCTGTGTCATCAGTTGTACCTCATAAGGCAGTAGTAGAGCCTTCCATATCAAAAGTAGACAATGTCAAAGTTGTTGTTAAATTAGAAGATGCAGTAAAAGGTTCACCATTGTTTTCATCTTCACCTCTTGAAAAATCAAGAAAGACTTATGAAGATATAGCTCATAACAAGAAGAAATCAAAGGAAAAGAGGACAAAGATGGAAGTATCGCCATCAAAATCCATGTCACTACATTTAGCAACAGCAGTAGAGGAAAAAGTGAAACGTGCTGAGGAGCACAGCAAAATTAAACTTCAGAAAGCAAAAAGTTTGCACGATCTTACACAGAGAGTCAAAAAGAAGTACTCAAAGTCTTGTATGAAGAAGCGAAAAGATGATCAGGTAAGAAGTAAATGTTTTTTTTTTAAATTTATTGTTGCCATTGTGATATAAAATTTTGTATGCAATTAGAAATATTGTTTATGTCCATGCAGTTTAATAAGAAATGAAGGTTAAAATATGTTAACTAAAAAGTGTGTTTTTCAGAATTCGATAGATGTGTAGGTATAAATAAATACTTACAAATTATATTATCTACAATTAGATAAGAGATGTAGACCTAAATAGATGCTAAATATGTTTTTTTTTCTATGCTTCATATTAAAAAAAACGAAAAAGGAAAATTTAAACAAGAAGATATTGTCATTATTGGAAAGACTCATCAAAAGATAAATGGTGGAAAACAGAAAATGCTGACGGCCTTTCATCATAGCAGTTGTATCTAGTGGCACAGAAATTGGTATATGCTTTTGAAGTAAACCTTGTCAGTTACCCACACTGATCAAGGAGGCACCTGATCTGGATGATGGCAAGATAGAGATAGATACAAGAATGTTATTAATACTTTGGACTTGGGTTTTCTTCCTCTTCATTTCATGTTTTTGGTTTTGAGGGAGATTTAGGTTCAGTGTCTGGCTATGTCAAACATAGTCACATTTTACTTTTGTTTATCCATTGTTAAGTTTCCAGACTGTTTTTAGTCTACTACTTTCTCTACTCCCATGTACTCTTTTTATGTTCGCCTTGTAAGGTATGGCGTCACAACACATTCACCCTATGTGGGCAAACCGTTTTATTATAACCTTATGTTTAAACTTGGCTGAGATATGTTAATGAAGGTTTTTAGAAGGCATGATTTTATGAATACTGGATGATTACAATGTTGGGTTCTTATCGTGATAGTATCTGCATGGCGAGAGTTACATTGATGCATTTGCGGGTCACAGGTCCTGTCCTATGTTGTGGGGGTGGCACGTATTCCTTATTTTCAATGGTTCAACTGTTCTGTTTTGCTGGTGTTGTCACCACTCAGTTGCGAGATTATTGGCATGTTGCGCTTCTTGCACGATGTTTCCTGAGTAGCGAAACTGGGATGTTCTTGTATTCCTACTTTCCTTGGTGGTTGCTTTTTTCTCTCTCGGGAAAGCCACCACAAAGAAACATAGCAATACAAAAACACCCCAGTTTCGATGCTCACGAACAGTTGCGCCTGCGTTGCTTCCCCCTGGATTGCTTCTTACTTCTACATACGTGCCTGTGATGCCTGAAAGGGACTCACAAGAACACAACCTCCCACAAACAATGTATACAGTGAGCGATTGTTGAACAAAATCATATCATAACATCCCCACAGCAAAGGACAAGGCTGTGACCGGCCGCAGCATGAATGAGATGGGAAGTAACTCTCACCGTGCGGACACTATTGTGACTTGAACCAAATGTTGAACTCTAATTCAGTTACCAGCTTCAAATCTTTGGTATGAAGCTGGAAATTGTTTCTCTCATTGGAAGTACACTAAACCTAACCTGAACAGTTCAATCTGACTGCACTAGCCATGCGGTCATAAATCCTGAGGCCTAATATGGACATTAAAGTCAGAATGTTAAATAGCTGCAAGAAATCCAGTATTTTCAATAACAGACCTGTTTGTCTATAGTATGACTAAGCTGACTATTTAAAAAAAAATGCTGTTCTTAAGTTGTAACAAATAATATTGTTGCTTTAGAAATCTGGGTTCAGATCTGGTGAATTGTTTAAAACAAAATGGATCTTAGTTCCCAGGTCGATCCTACTCAAAATAGGTACCAGATGATTTCCTGAGAAGACAAGGCGGGCAGTGTGATGTTGACCATATCACTTAACAACTGCTAGTTGGTCTATACAAATATAGGTCTAGCTCTTCCCTGGGAAGCTGTCTTGGTGTAGCGGCTAGACATTTACCTGCAGATTGGAAGGTCGTGGTTTCAGGTCTTGACAGAGCTGGAATTTTTTTTCTTTAAAAATCATCTTGGCTCCCAGATAAACCTGGCCTGAAATGTGTAGTCCTAGGAAGTAAAGGAGGCAGGGGTGATGTTGATCCACATAATCCACCCCATGCTGATTGATCTATACAATATAGGTCTAGCCCTATATGCCCAGTATGCCTAAAGACCTGAAGGCCTGGAAAAGGGTGCTTTGCTTACTTACTTATTAGCTATTTTGTCTGTTGACATTTTCATTATTATATTGTAAATTATAAACCTTATATTCTTTTATGAAAGGACACAAAGTCTAGAAAGAAGAGAAGGAAAATTGACTCTGACTCCAGTGACAGTGTTAACTCGTCTTCAGATTCAGTCACGGAGAATACACTTACATCTGGTGAGTATCGTCATGAAGTTCTTCATGGGCTGCAATTGCTTCATTAGTTATCTTCTGTTAATCCTGTCTTCTTCTTCTGCTTCTTTTTGTTCGTTGGAGTGACATAATTACGTTGTGCCTGTTTACAGCAAAGCTGTAATATTTGTGCTTTTCGGCCAACACATTCAACTTCATTGAGCATTGGTTGACCTGATTAACTTCCTGGGTAGTTTCGAGGGACATAGCGTAGCCTTTTTTGTATTGCTTTCTTTGTCCCTTTGTCTACAGATGTTGTCCCTGAGTTAACTCTTTCAAGAAACTCACCAAATGTTAATAGATTGCTCTACACATGGTAGAGCTGAGTCAAAAATCACAGCACTAAAAGCATTCCCATATGCCCTCCGTCCCCATCCTCAGCAGACAGCACAGAGTTCAATTACTAATTGTGCTGGTCGTAGTCTGGATGCATGTACGTCTTGCCTTTCCTGTGAGCGTAGTGTGCCAGCCGAACCCTCTGGTCACACCCAAGTGCATCATTCTCTCCAGCCCATAATAATCTAGTTTCTCTTCTGGCTTCAGCAGTGTAGATCCAGCCAGTCTGTCTGACTGTTCATTCCCCACCACGCCGGCATAGCTCTACACATGGTACAGATTTCTTAATATCTTTTCTTCTCATTTTCTGTTACACTAATCAACTTTAGTTGGCTGGGTTTTACTTGCTTTTTTTTTTACTTATCCATGGTTGGTTGGTTTTTGTGGCTATTGTTTTTACAAGATGAGGTAGCCAACCTCAAGCCCAAACCTACCCTTAGTCGCCTCTTATGACATGCCTGGTAGGGTGCAGTGTCACTTTTCTTTGCTTCCTGTGAGGGCCCCGGTGACACACGAGCAAAAGAATACAAAAGGCAAGCTTTCATAGCACTAGAGAATATATACAGGTTAGAAGAAATTAAAAGAAATACTAAACTTGAAATTTTTAATTCTAATGTAAAATCAGTACTTTTGTATAGGGCGGAAACAGCTAAGGCAATTATAAATAAACTACAGACATTCAATAACTGGTGCCTGCGCAAAATAGAGGGAATTAAATAGTAAAATAGAATCACTAATGTAGAGCTTTGGGAGAGAACTAAACAAGCTCCAGTGGACCAAGAGGTGAAGAAAAGATGCTGGCGTTGGATAGGACACACATTGAGAAAACAGGAGAACAATATAACTAGAATGTCTTTGCACTGGAACCTCCAAGGGCATCGGAATAAAGGAAGGCCAAAAAAAACACATGGAGAAGGGAGCTGGAGAGTGAAGTTAGAAAAGATGGGGAGGGCATGAGGAGAGCTGTATGCGATAGCGAAAGATTGGTGTGAGTTGGTTGAGGGCCTGTGCTCCACTGGGGGCTAGAAAGGCAGAAGAAGAAGAAGAAGAATCCAGTTTTCTTTGTTCCAGTTGCTCAATCAGTCAAGCAATTAGGCTGGCTGCAGTAGATCTCCAACATGTCCATGTTCTGTCTTTCTCACTAGATGTACATTCTCTCAACTACTACTGCTCTGTCTTCTTAGCATTCTTCACTGGTTGTAAACTCTGGTTGAAAGTTCTGCATGTTCATTGACTTCTGGACTATAGCCTTGTTCTAGAACTTAGTTTTGCATGCACATCCCTTGTATTGTTGTGGCTTATTTCTGTGCAGACTGTTGGTTCTTTTGTTTGGCTATCAGGCTGATCCACTGAGACAGAAATACCCCCAATTAGCCTACTTTTACAACATGCTAATTTGGGGTCGGGGTGGGGGGGGGGCAGTAGTCTCTTCTCCTTTCCCTCAAAATGGGGTCCTGGAACCCACCCAGTGATCTGTGACTGGTGTTTATCCATCTTTTGATGTTATCTTCCCACTTATATCACTGTCTGTCTCTTGCTTGCCTGCCTGCAACTTTCCCTTCCAGTATGATTTATATAAGAATGCATGTCTTTTAATATGGCTAAAATATTTCACTTTTTTTTTAAATTATTTTTTTTTATTTCCATCAGCAACTCTATTTAATTTCTTGTCTCTGTATAACCTCTATATTTCATTGTCTTGTTTCTAGAAATACACCATATTCTTCAGTATATCCACATTTCCAGAGACATCAGTTGACTTTAACTCAAATTATACCATTATTTATTATGTAAAACCAGTCGGATTCAAATGTTATTCTGTAGTACACGGACTGCAGTTTTGGAAGTATTGATGAAGAAACTGTCTGGGATCGAAGGAGTTAACTGATGCATCTTCATTACTCTGGCCGCAGTTAAAGCGGATACTGCTGGCAGTAGGTTTAATGTGGTTGTTTTCATAAATGGATGGGTGGATAAAGCTAGTGGTAAACCAGATGGTATTACCCCCATATTTTAAATCGACCAGTCTGCACTCATTTGGTGATCCAGCCAGCATCCAGCCAGCCACATTTGTTTTCCAGGACACCTCCTGGTGCCCATTTTTTGGGTGATGACCTGAAAACCCTTTTTCACTTATAAAAGTCTGCAACTGTGCAGTTTTAAACTCAAAGCCTTCAAATTTTATTCTTTTCGACATTCTGGCACACTGGCCGACCCATATGTGCTCCTTCCACAGATGCAGCAGCCATGCCAGTGTCTCCATTCTCAAAGTACTAGCAAGAGTCGGCTGGCATATCTCTTTTCTTTGCCCTGTATCTGGTTTCGGCATGCTTGTTCTAGTTTTAACACTTTTCTGTAGTAGGTGGTTGATTATCGCTGACTCCTTTGTCTCAGCATCTCTGAAATGCATCACATTCAGTATGTCTGCCCTGTCCATCTTCTTCCTCCATCAACCAGTGCAGACACAGCCTGTCTGTTGGAAGATTATCTGCATCAAATTTGATTGAAAGCATACAAAAGTGACAAAAAGTTGTGGATATGACATGACAATCAACGCCACATGACGTGGACTTTAAGAAGAAGAATTGACCTCTGGGTCACTTTGGTGTCAAAACTTCAGGTAGCAGTCGGAGATAAGAGAAGACAGTCAGCCAATAAGTGTTTGTCTTATCTATGTGCAGAGCCTCGTTCTTGCAAGCTGCAACAGTCTGATCTAAAAGAAGGCCTGAAGGTTCTGTATCTTATAGATGGACTTTTCCATGAAGGCACAGTGAAGGCATTACAGCCTCCGGATGTGTAAGTAAATTAATTAGCTTTTAGTCTAAAAGTCTTCATTTAAGCAGAGCTGGTGTTCACATACTTCATTTGAATGTGTGAGCTTATGTACAATTTATATATGTATACATTTTCCAGTGCGTATTTGAAAAAAAAAAGTATCTATGTGGTTAATCTAAAACTTCTGTGATCAGATGTACAGTGTAACAATAGACAATGTGATTTGTTTATTGCATCACAGTTAAACTTATTCAAGTTTTGTACTTCATTATAATATCTGATTTTCAGATGATAGTATTATATTGAGCTAAGGTGGAGGCATGGGAATCACAGGCGAGTGAGACTAGCAAGACTTTGTTGTATTCAGAAAAGTCTTCCACAGTTAGAGCATGGGATGTCAAGATCATTGTTGCCATCACATGTGTTTAATACATATGCTTAGCTATGACTTATATGCAGTTATTGTGTTTCCTTTTTTCTCCATTCCCTTCCTCATTTTCTCCCTCCACTCAGCCCAGTCCATGGCTTTTTTTCCCACCAAATCCACCTCAATACCTTAATTATTTGTGTACTGCTTGCACACATCTTTTTATCGGGCCTACCTCAATATCTTCTGCCTGTCTGTATGTAGGATGATGCACTGTAACTACACGTTTATTCTTGGCTTATTTTCGTTCATTGACAACCCGGATGACAAGATGGTGAGAGTGTGCAGCAGGAATGCAGGGGGGGGGGGGGGGGGGTGTTTACCCCACAACTATGCAGTGGTAGGGACTAGTCCCCCCCAGAAATGAAACCAAATTACTCTGTATGAATGACAGTGGTTGCCTTCACAGAAAGCCTCGCTGGGCATGGAAGATAAGCACCCAGTTCTTCATCAAGAAACATTGCATTATGCAGTGTAGCCACATAACAGATATCCACTAGGAATTCAAGAAGCACCATCTTTGTGAAGAATAACCATATAACGATCAGTTATAACCAAAAGCTTTTATAAGCAGGTTAAATGCAATTCAGACTTTATTATTATTCAGGCAAGCAAGCTTTGCTTTCTTGTTCAACACTGGTGGTAAATTGGTGATGCTGACAGTGTGCCTGATTTGTATTTGTAATAATTTTATTTTATTTATATTTATTTCCTCAATAAACTTTTATGCCTGGCTGAATGGTTAGGACGCTATGCTCTCATGCGGGAGACCCAGGTTCGAATCCTCGGTAAGGCTGGGGATTTTTTTCTGTGGGGGACAAAAATAAAATCCTCACCAGCACAGTCGTGGCAACAGCACTAGCCATGCAGCCCTAAATCCTCAGTCTTTAGCAAAGTGTATCTGTAAAACATCTATTTGTTTTGCTGTTTATATGGATATTAGGAAAGCTGTAATATTTTGGTCATATCAAGCGCCAAATGGGATTGGAAAAAAATAATGGCATAAGGCATGGTACAGGGAAGGAGGGGCAAAGGTCGACCAACACGAAGATGGGCACAGGATATAAATGACTTCTTGAATATGAAAGTAGAGTGGGAGAGCTAGCGAGAGACCAAGTTTCTTTAAGACAGACTGTGATGAGAGTGTCGTTCTGCAAAGGATCTGTTACATGCATGATTGATGGTTATTAAAAGTTTTTTTAAAATAAATAAAATTATCCCCTTCTATTTCTGCAGACTGCAGGATTAACATCTCAGGAAGGAGAATCAGACAGCGATAAAATTAACGAATGTCTGTTCATTTTTATCTAGCCCTATAGCATAGTTATGGGGAGTCGCCATGGTGTTGGTGGCTAGATACCTCCCTGAGGATTGGAAGGTCGTGAGTTCGCGCCCTGGTGCAGAAATGACCTTGACGCCCAGATCAACCCAGCCTTGAGTGGGTGCCAGGTGCAGTCCTGGGAAGTAAAGGTGGCTGGTGTGATGCTGACCACACCACCCACCAAGTGTTGATTGGTCTATAAAAATATAGGTTTATATTCCCAATAGGCCTAAAGGCGTGGAAAAGGGACTTTTACATTTAACTTATAGCATAGTTATGTTGGGGCAGTACAAAACGGTTACAAAGTAACCTTTAGACCAGTGTGTGTGAGTTGTTGCTCATTTAGTATTTATATTGCTAAGTGGAAGCAAGTTGTAGTTCTTCAACAGGATGCTAAATTAACTTTATCAAAATCTCAGAAATTCATCATATTTGCTTTTAAACTAGTTCACATGGTCTATTGTTGCTTTTATTACAACCAGAACCGATGTAATAAACCATGCATTTAGATAAATAATACATTTAAATAAATGGTATATTTTCCAGTTATGGTGTCCTAACAGCCGGCCAGAGAGGAAATAGGCCTCACATTCTGAGCCTTGAAGAGATACTCAAGTTTGCTGTAAGTTTTTTTAAAAAGTTATAAAACACAAAACACATTTTTTCTTTCTTTCTTTCTTTCTTTCTTTCTTTCTTTCTTTCTTTCTTTCTTTCTTTCTTTCTTTCTTTCTTTCTTTCTTTCTTTCTTTCTTTCTTTCTTTCTTTCTTTCTTTCTTTCTTTCTTTCTTTCTTTCTTTCTTCCTCTTCCTTTCTTTCTTTCTTCCTCTTCCTTTCTTTCTTTCTTTCTTTCTTTCTTTTTTTCTTTCTTTCTTTCTTTCTTTCTTTCTTTCTTTTCTTTCTTCTTTCTTTCTTTCTTTCTTTCTTTCTTTCTTTTCTTTTTCTTTCTTTCTTTCTTTCTTTCTTTCTTTCTTTCTTTCTTTCTTCTTTCTTTCTTTCTTTCTTCTCTTTCTTCTTTCTTTCTTTCTTTCTTTCTTTCTTCTTTCTTTCTTTCTTTTCTTTCTTTCTTTCTTTCTTTCTTTCTTTCTTTCTTTCTTTCTTTCTTTCTTTCTTTCTTTCTTTCTTTCTTTCTTTCTTCTCTTTCTTTCTTTCTTGCCTTTCCTTTTTTCACACCATCATTCTTTTTTCTTTCTTTTTTAAACTCCAAGTTGGCACCATTTTATCTTAAATGCCACTTTCCTGACTCTTTAAAGAGACATGTTTGCATTATATCTTGCTAACAGAATTAATTGCATCTGTGTCTGCACAAATTCGTAGCGGGACAGGGTTTAGGGGCTTCCTTTTATTTTTAATGGCTTTATTTAAAGAAAAATTTATGTAATATTTTCCTCATTGTCTACTGTGGTTACTGGGCGACTGGGTCACAGGGTCAAGTGTCACACTATATCAGTTTACCACAAGAGGTGTAGGTCAGTTGATTCTGTGCTACTTTTGTTTCTATTGGTTACCCCCCTTACCTTCTGTAGGATTTGTGTAAATGTGGATGATAATTGATTTTATGTGATTTTTACTGTTGTTGTATAACCAGTCATACAATTCATTAAAGAACATCAGATGAGATCGTTTGGCCACTTGATAAGAATGCCTTGGTACCAACTGCCACACTGAAGAAATATAATGAACACAAAGCAGAGGGGAAGACCAAGCATGAGATGGAGCAGCATCGTTTGGAGCAACAACAGAAATGAACATCAACTTGTAAAATACATTGAGAAAAGCTCACAAACGATCCTTACATCTCCCCCAACATCTCAATGGGGTAAATGGTGGAAGAAAAGAAAAAGAAGAAGCATGCGACATGTGAGAAATTTTTCCAATCAATTTTGTGTGTGAAACTACAGGAGCTTGACTTTCTAGGTCACCCTGGTAAACAGGTTACACGCATATTTACAGCCATAATAATTAGTTTGTTGAGAACCATAAGAGTATGTAAAAGGGTCAGTGAAGCTGACGAGCAGAATGAATCGTTGCATCCTGTAAAGTTACAGTATTTATTTCCTAGGTTTTGGATATGAAACCTGACAGTGTTCTCAAAGTGCCAGAAGGTACACGTATTTGTGCATTTTGGAGCCAACAGTTCTCTTGCCTTTACCCCGGGAACTGTAGCTAAATGTAAGTATAAATTGTTTTTGAAAAAATGAAACAATAAGTACAATGGTGTTTTGTGTGTGTGTGTGTCTGTGAATGTTTGTAATTAAAGGTTTTCATATGTATGTATTTTTATAAATAAAATGTGTTTTGTGTGGAAATTTCTTTTTGGTTCTCCAAAAATCACCTTGGCTCCCAGGTGGGCCCAGCCTTAAATGGGTACCAGGGAGAATCCTGGGAAGTAAAGGAGGCAGACATGATGTTGACCACATCATCTGATTGGTCTATAAAATATAGGTCTAGCCCTATATGCTTGAATGCATGAAAAACGGTCAATGAATAAAATATTTTAAAATAAATATTTGTGACTAAAATGTTGAAAATAAAATTTAAAAATGACATTTTTCTAACACATTACATTTTCTACATTTTGTAGACATTCTTACTTCTTTTTAACTTATGTTATATATAAACATTGACACTTATGTTGTTACTTAACAGTTAATGACCTGATGCTTGATTTATGTCCTGACAGCAAAACCAATATATAATGGCAACAAGGTGGCAATCCCTGTAGAGTTTGATGATGGAGATAACGGGAAAATAGAACTTGATCACATTCGACTGCTTCCTCCAGAATTTCCTATTGTTGGTATGCCAAATTTACTTGTGTATGTTTTAGTTATGGAGGTTTATATGAAGGCTCTTAAAGAACCTTGTCGGGGTGTTTTCTTCTCTTCTAGATTTTTTATATTTGAATTATTTTACTGTTTAAGTGTTTTTTTGTACATTTAATCTTTACCCCTACACGCGTGACAAAAATAGTTATTTCAGAACTAGAAAGCAATTTATAGACATTGGAAACTTGGCATTTCATATGATCAGACTGGCCACCTTTTACATACCATCTACATTTCCTGGTGTTGATTTTAGACTGGAGTTTAAGTCAGTTGTGAAAATCTGCCTTGATTCTAACTCAAAACATTCAGATCAGCAGGCAGGTTTCTAGCCACTGCACCATTATATAATGGACAGTAAAAATAAATGTGTGGGGCTACTGTAGTGTAGTGACTGCACAACTCACCTGCTGATCAGAGGTTTGAGTTGAAACCCACACTGACATTAGCTCCCAGGTCGGCTGAGCTTAAAATATTTACCAGGTAACATCCTAGGACATGCATATTTAACTAAATTTACCAGGTGCCAAAATGTTGAAAATGGAGATTGTCACTGGTCGAAGCTCCAGCATAAAAGAAAGTTCATTAAAACAAAACAGTTGGCAATGATCTACGGACTTTCTGCTAGATCTCTGCAAGCTGAATTTGGACCATTGGTTGCCAGTTGATTAGCCCCGTCTTAGGAAGTAGTGGCCAGCGTGATGTTGACTACGTCATATGTCAAGTGCTGGCTGGTCCATAAATATTTCTGTCCAGCATAGGGTGAACATAATAGTTTGAGCTGAAAATGGGACAGCACACTTGTATTTTGTGCTGAAAATGAGACATCCCCATCAATACGTTAATCCTGCCACCCCAGGTCACTGGGGTTAAAGGGTTAATGACTTACTCGATGAAGTTTTTAAAATCTGAACCACTGTTGCCTGCAAATAAATTTAAACATAAGCTGTTTAACTGCAGTAAAAGAAAATAGTACAAAAAAAAAATTCTCAACACATTTCGAGTATTAAAAGTATCTAAAATTATGAAATCTAGTAAGGTCTGCAGATATAACTTTAAGCCGTATAATCTCGATTGTTATTTTTAAAATACAACAGTTGGTGCTTTGGCCAGGGCACACCTATGAAATGGGCCAGGGCACACCAATGAAATGAGACTGTCTCGATAAAAATGGGATGTATGACCAACTCTAGTCTAGCTTCATATGCTCAAAGTGTCACTGGAGGTTGAAAAACAAAAATACTTTTCTTAGTTAAATTACTTGGTATTGTAATTACACTGTATATTTCTTTAACCAAACAGAATATGAACCTGACCCACTGGAAGTCTTGCCTAAAAGAAAACAAAGATCATCAGATTCCTCAGATGTAAGAAAATCCATGGAAACAGCGTCAACAAATAAACAGTTGGAGTCAGAAGAGGACAATGATGAAGATGGTAGTGAAAGTAAAACTGATGCAGATTCTGATGACTTAGGTAACACATTTTCTTCTTCTTCTTCTTCTGCTTTTCTTCTTCTTCTTCTTCTTCTTCTTCTTCTGTCTTTCATGATGTGCTGCTAAACTGTACAGAATTTTCTCTCTTCATCTTCTAATGCCTTCTATCAATTTAACTTTCCCATTGGCACAAAATACCTGTTTTTTCTTTCTCACAATGTGCTTCAACAATGTGGATCCTCTACTGTTGATGCAGATAATCATTTCTGTTGTGAATTAATTTCTTCCGTGAAAGATGCAAGTATTGTGGCGTTGCTACATCTGGAACAACATAATTATCTGAAACATCCTCTCCCCCCCCCCCCCCCCCCACTCAGTCACTTAATCAATATACGACTTTACATATTTTTGTTGTCTAATCAATATTCTGCAATTTTCCATAGAACAATATCTTTGAGGCCTTGAGATATTGTTTTGTTTTCTTACTGTCAAGGATTCACAATCATATATTAAAGCTGGTTTTTTTTAACATATAAGAATTGTTTCCCGAGCATCTGTGACAGGGATTCATCGCATAAGATGTTTTCTAGTTTTATAGAATCGTGTTTTGCTTGCTCCATTCTTGTTCTCTGTGGTACATCTTTATTGTTATTCATGTGTGCTTGACTTTCTCTACTGTTCCCAGTGTGATTCCATTGACTTTAATTCTACTTTTAGGTTTCACATCCATATCTTTGATATTATCCTTACCTCTTCCTTTCCATTAATCAACCTTTTAGTCACACTGTCACTACTGTCTATATTTACCACATTATAGGGTGGTGTGGACAGGGGGGTCACGAGCCTGAGGATTTATGACCACATGGTCAGCGCTGTCGCCACGGACTGTACAGGTTAGGATGTTAAATTTTGCCCCTGACAGAAAAAGCTCTATCACCTTACCGAGGATTGAACCCGGGTTTCCTGCATGAGAGCCTGATGTTGTAACCACTCACCCACCCGCTGCTCCTTTTAGTGTCTAGGATAATTTTAGAATGAAAATATGATTCAGTTTTGAGGAAGTCTATAAGTGTCTTCCAGGACACAATCTAGAAAGTAAAGGTATCTGCTGTGATATTTACCATATCACATAAGTGTGCTGATAAGCTATACAAATATCAGCTAGTAACTATCACATACCCATCCATTTCAAGGCTTGAAATTGTGACTTCTACTTTTTTTTTTTTTTCCACATTCATCCCCATCGTCAGCATAGTCAGTTAACGCAGTTTGTTGTTGAGTCACTAGCTGCTGCTAATTGTCTGATCAGTTACTTCCACCTCTGTCGTTCAGATGCAATGAGCTTGATGTTCAGATATTTGACGCCAGTCTATTTAGCCAGATTCTAGATCTGGACTTTCTTGGTCTGCCTCTTTTCCTCTTTCCCTGTACCAAGTCCTTTAGTCATTTCTACATTTAACATCTAAAAAGAAGACTTTGAGTTAAGTGGACTCAAGAACCGACATCACAGCACTAAGGCTATTACCATAAGCGCTCTGTCACATCTAAAGCAGCCAGCGCAGAGTTCTAATACCAGTGGTGCCAGTAACCGTCTTATGATATGTCAGTCTAGCCTTTCTCTGAGCATCAAGTATCAGCCAGATCCTTTCATCACTCCTCGCTGCATCACTGACATCAGACTGTAATGATCACTTTGCCGTTTCAAATTGTACACATGCTCCCATAAGGCCCTAACCATGTCTGCCATATCATGCATACGTATGCCACCAAGTTGTGCAGAGCCAGCCAGACTGTCTGCCTGTTCATTATCCACCACACTGACATATCTGTTGTGCTTTTTTTTCTCACTTTGAGGCACATCAGGCATATGGTGCAAGCCCCATAGTTTTATCATCCGGTTGGTACTTGATGGTATCATCATCACACTGACTTCAGATTTGCACCAGGGCCAATTTTTATTATTTACCTGTAAGTAAGTAAAAAAGTAAGTAAAGGACCCTTGCCACGCCTTTAGGCGTATAGGGCTAGACCTATATTTTTATAGACCAACGGCACAAGATGGGTGATGTGGTCAGCATCACGCCGGCCGCCTCTACTTCCCGGGATTGCACCCGGTACCCACTCAAGGCTGGGTCGACCTGGGAGCCAAGGTCATTTTTGAAGAAAAGTCTGTCTCCACCAGGGAGCGAACCCACGACCTTCCGATCCGCGGCGCGCGTCTAGCCGCTCTGCCACGGCGACTCCCTATTTACCTGTATCCCAGATTAAACCATTTCCCAGGTTGACCCAGTCTAAAATACTAAAATAAGAACCAGGAAATGTCCTGAGAAGTAAAAACCAGTAGCACAGTGTTGACCACATTACCCCATTGAGTGCCATTTGATCTTTAAAACTGTGAGTCTAGGATTTAATACCTCCTCTTCCTTCTTCTCCTCCTCCTCCTGCTGCCGATTTTTCCTTCTTCCTCCTTCTTCTTCCTTCTTCCTTGTCCTCCTCCTTCTTCCTCTAGTTTTCCTCCTCCTTCTTCCTCTTCTTCTTCTCTTTCTCTTCTTTTTCATCTTCCTTCTCTTTCTCTTCTTTTTCATCTTCTTCCTCTTTTCCTTCTCCTTCTTCTTCCTCTTCTTCTTCTCTTCCTCTTCTTTTTCTTCTTCTTCATCTTCCTTTTTATCTGCTGCCTCTGCTCCTGTTCTGCTTTTTTCATCTTCGTCTTCTTCTTCATTTTGAGGTACATGGCTGCAAATATCACCTGCATCCATCATCTCTGTGATTGGCCTTTTGTTCCCAGTTGGTAACTCAAAGTGGTTTTATGTCTGCTTGTATACTATCTTCCCATAGTTTTTTTGGTCTACCTTGTCTTCTGCAGTTCTGCTCTTTTGTGTACACAGTCTTTGTCACTCTGTTATCTGTCTTACTTTTATTTACACTTAATAAATAGCTGGATGTATGTAATAATGTATGTTTTAGCAGTTTTTATAAGAATACTTCTTTCTAGGTGTCATGGTCACATATGAGGCTTGGAAATGGCATGGTAAAGGTGTCAAGAGAATTGGCCCAAAGGGAAAATCCAAGAAGGTATTTTACAAAGCAGTAACCCGAGGTCAAGAAACAATTCAAATTGGCGACTCAGCAGTTTTTGTGTCCAAAGACGGATCCCAGTGTCCCTATATTGGACACATTGAAAGTCTCTGGGAGTCTGTCAATGGTCAGATGATGGTCAAAGTTCGCTGGTACTATCATCCTGAAGAGACTCATTCAAACAGGAAACTGTCAGACCCCAAGGTAAGATATTTGGCTGTACACTGTTTCTTTTGAGCTGTTTCTGTCTGATGTCTCTCACTCTTCAGCTTAATTTTAGATTGCAAGGCATCTAGAAAAAAAGGGCCAGAAAGATCTATATAACAGACCCTTAATCTGCAGACACTGTTCCCTGCCTTCATTGTCCTAGATCCTTCTAGGCCCATTTTGGGTTTATAAGTCTCCTCTGGACTCACAGTCAGTCAGCTTTGGTTTCATGACCGATGAAAGAAAGAGTTGTCCTCATCACTTGTGATTGACAAACAGCAACAACAATAATTTTGATTAATCATATATCTGTTACTCATAGTAGGTCAGACTTGTCATTCACTTATCCTTAGCTTAGTCTTTCATTGTAATCAGCTTAGTTTTATCCTACTCTTTCGTCAGTCATTCATTATATCACTGACATTGTTTTGTTTTTTTTGTCTGTCATTTATTAATTATTATTTGTCATCAATATAGTTATTTTTGTCTGTCATTCATTATAACAGCCCAGATTTGTGCAGACAAAAAGACATGGCAGTGAACCTGTGATTGCCCTGGTAAAACAAGCAGCCACTTTTGAGTACGATTGATGATTATATTTCATCTGACAATTTTCATTTACGTGCTTCATTTCATTCAATTATTACTGTAGTGTGCACCTGACTAGATATTGTTTAAAACAAAACAAAAACCCAGGTAATAAATATTGCAATCTATTTTTGTTTGTCTTTGTTTATATTAATTCAGCAACCTGAAGTACAGAAAAGCATACCTACAATAAATTACGTATTCTTCTATTAACATGAGCAAGTAGATATATTTATAATTGCACCATTAATTACAGTGTGGGTAATGGCTACATTATTTACATTGTGTGTAATTGCTATAAAATTACAATGTGTGTTATTACTGCATCAGTTAAATTGTGTGCATTTGCTACATTCATTACATTGTGGGTAACTGCTACATTAATTAAACAGCGTGCAATTCCTACATTAATTACATTGTGGGTAATGTCTATATTAATTATACTGTGTAACGCTAAAATAATTGTGTGCAATGGCGACATTAATTACACTGTGTGTAATTGCTACATTAACCACATTTGTGTTGATGTACTTCACAGAATGCACTGTTTGAATCTCAGCACAAAGATGAAAATGACATACAGACAATTGCTTACAAATGTGAGGTTTTGCCGTACGCCCAGTTCCGAAAAAGGACCAGCCAGGCTGCTAAGAATGTAGAGCCACTTGGTGCTAATGTTTTCTATCTGGCCGGTTGCTACGATCCTTCTGCCAAAAGTATCACATTTTACCAAGGTGTTTCTTGACAGAAGAGCTGAACTGCATCACAGGAACATTTGTCACTTGTTGCCATTTTTGGATGTTTTTGTTTGAAGTCAGATGGAAATAGCCACCATAGGATATTGCAAAAACAATGCTTTTTCATCTTTGTTGGGTGTTTTTTTGTCAGTCAAGCAATGACGTGTCATAATATTTAGTACTTATTTTTGCATTCCCTGCGCAAGTTCTAAGGCTCCCTTTTGGGGTGGAGGGAGTAGAAAGATATTCTGTGTGCTTATTCGATTTCTTCGACTTCTCTTCCTTCCTCCATTCAACAGATCGTTGCATTAAGATTTAAGAGTCTTCTACGTGCTCTTTCCGATTCTTCTGTTTTTTTCCCCTCCAGCTAATCAGATCGTTGCAGGGAGATGTGCTCTTTCTGATCCTTCTCCTTTTCTTCCTCTGGTTCATCGATCATTGCAGGGAGATGTAAGGGTTTTCTGTGTGCTCTTTCTGATCCTTCTTCTTTTCTTCCTCCAGTTCATCAGATTTGTTGAAGGGAGGGAAAAGATCTTCTGTGTACTCTTTCTGGTTCTTCTCCTTATCTTCCTCCAGTTCATCAGATCATTGCAGGGCAATGTAAGGGTTTTCTATATGTTCTTTCCAGTGCATTGTATAAGTTTATCTTCATTTGCTTAAGACCGTTCTTGATGCCATCATTCCATCTTCTGCATGGTCTTTCTTTTGTTCTGTTTCCATTACATTTCTTCAACATGACTTTCTGTGGCAATTGGTACCAGAGCCTTTATGATATGCTTATCAAGAGACAGTGGTTTTTTTTTTTTTTGTCAATACTGGACACTGGAACCCACATAGGGAGGCAGAATATTCTTTGTGCTTTCAAAACTTGAATTCAAAACAAGAAACAGTATATTTTAATCAGTTCAGAAAGGCATTTTTCCTTCAGTAGATTAAAAGAGTTAAAGGTCAAAGACATGATGATCAGCTCTGTTGCTTTAGATTTTAATCCATATGGCTCAGCCTTTTTCCACAAAATAGCTAGCCTCCTTCCACGGAATGGCTAGCCTTCTGACAAAAGTGTTGCACAAAGCCTGACTCAATAGCTCCAGCAATGATCTCCCAGTGTTCTCCATAAAAACTGCACCCATCAGCTGAATGACACAATCCATGAAATAAGCCTCCCAACCTTTACAGCGGGACTTGAATGTATTAATTATATAGTCATGGATACCTCCCCATTGACCAGAGTTATTCTTTTCGTTTTTCATGGCAACCATTTTCAGATAAGGCCACACGCCTCTATGAAGTCTGTAGTGTGACTGCTTGTCTTTCCTTCTTCCATACAGCTTGATTCCATTGGAATGCCAACCAGCAAAACCTGGGGTCTCCCTACTGCATGTAGGAGAGCATGTCTGCAACACAGGCTCAGTATTCTATGGTGCCGAGTAGAGTAATAGTGTAGATTATCTTCCCCTTGTAGTGACATAGAGTTCATCTCCCTCTGTTTGTGACTTGCAATTATTGACTGGATTTTCCTTTGTTGTGGTTGGCGAGTGACTTAAGTCAGAGTGCCTTTTTTTTGCCTGATTGTTTACTCTAGTTATACCAGCCTGCAGTCATCTGCATACATTTATAATTATAAAGTCATTGTTTATTGCATTTTGGTAGTGTCATTTCGCTTTTAGTTTTGTAGAAGTGTTATTTACATGTAAAAGTTTCATTTTGTAAGATGTTGCATTTCATAAAATGTAAATAAAATATTACATTTGATGACCCCCAAAAAATACCAGTCATATAGACATTTGTGAGTAAGGTTGCCTAACAGTGTCATGATTTCCAGTGGCTTTACTAAATCATTTGTGACTGACTTAAATGTGACATAATTAATTGAAGTTGACAGCAACAGATTTACATTAGGCTTGAGTAAACAAGTCTGACAGACCAAAGTGAACTTGGTTATGACAGACTTTAGTTAATTTCATTAACACAGACTTGAGTTAACTAATTGTGATGAATTTAAAATGAACATAAATCTGACATACTTAAGGGAAATTGATTATTGCAGACTTGAGTTAACCAGCTGTAACAAGCTCGAGTTAACATGAATCTGACATACTCAAGGGAACTTGATCATCGCTGACTTAACAAAATTGTGACTGATTTCATTTATACAATGTAATTTTGTTTTAATGTAGGGCAGACATTTAAAGATCCAGTATTCCCTCCAAATTATGCATAGTTTTCTAATGTCATTAATGATATACAAAACAATACAATGGTGCCTTCACAATCCAGGTCTGTACTGACCTGTAAGAAATATTTGCTTTCCTATTCTTATTTTGTTTCATTTTTTTGTTATCTCTAATGTTGACACACTTGTTTGACATGAGCAAGCTTCCATAAGTTGCATCGATAATGTACCGTCATCATTTTCCTGTCATCTCCCTCGTTTTTGTAATTATCTCACATGTATAAATTTTTTTTTAATTATGTCTGTTGGAAGATCATGCACTTAACATTGTTTATTGATTGGCCAGATGGCTATCAGATTTGTATGTTTATAATAATATCGCTTAAATGAGAGTTTTAATGTTGGCTACTAATAGCTACTTCTGCCCAATCTGGGAAAATATGGCAAAATTGTAGCTCAGGGTTGATGTCTTTGTGGTATTATGGTTTCATGTTTGTAACGCTACATGGCATGTCACATGTTTCTTTCTTTACACAAGTACATATTTGTAAATAGTTTTGTTTTTGGTCTTGTGCTATGTACTCTTTAAACATGGTGAATTATAACTGTGGCTACAATTAGTTGTAAAGAATTGCTGTAAATAAGACCGCTGTAAATCATTTTTTGTGTGTATCACTATTAGTAATTTTATAATTATTGATTTGAACTATCTCTTTTGGTCACATTCACTTATAAATCATGGTTTTTATGCTTTTTTTTTTTTGCGCCCCCCCCCCCCCCCCCCTTTTAACCTCCACCTCCACCCCCACTCTTTTTGTTACTGTAGAAGCTTTAGGGCATCTCTTTTGATACAGATGAGGGAAAGAAAAATAACTCTTTCTTTCCCAGTGGGCTTAGCATCAGAGGCCTAAGGGGTAATACGGAGCAATGTATCATCTTACGTTCATTTGGTTTCTGGGTAGGAAAATATGATGTATTCCTTGAGGCTGAAAGAGTTAATAGGTCTTTTTGTCCATAGTTGATTAGAAAAAAAAAAAAAAAAAAAAAACTTCATTACTGTATATTTCAAGCCAGATATTTAAAAACAAATGAACACTGAAAATATAAGGGGTAGTTTTCATATATCAGTTATCACCGTGTGGGTTCCTGGTCCCCATTATGAAGGAGGAGGAATGGAAATAGACCCACTGACTTTCCAGCAAGCATGTCATAAGAGTTGACTAATTGGGGATTTCATTCAAAGTCGGAGTGCATCTGCCCGAGAGGCAGGAAACCAGCAGTCTGCCTACAAATAAGTCAGATCTGTGAAAACGGATGTGCACTCACCACTCAGATTCTGGAACAAGTCTCAAAGTCCAAATGTGGATGAACAACCAGAACTTTCAGCCGGAGTTTACAGCCAATAAACACCAAAAAAGAAGATGTATCAGTTGAAAGTCATCATGAAAACGTATCAGTCCTAATGAGAAGTGGAATTTTACAGAACCACAGTCACAAACAACAACAAGGATGTGGCTAGGCTAGACTGCTATCTTTAGCTCATGATATAAACAGACAGTGATATATTTACTAACACAAATACATAAAATCACTTATCTTTGACAGTGGAGTCCCTGTTCCTTGCTTCTACAACAACATGTGTGCTCACTCTACTGTTCAGTTATGGATGGATATTTTATGACAGGCCTTGGTGTAAAGCTAAGTGGTTATATCTGTTCTTTTTTATAATTGAATCATTGTCAGTTTGTGTTATGATAAAGGCTTTCTAGCTATGGCATTTGTTTGTTCATGGTTATGTTTTTGTGAAGCTGACTAGATATAATTCACAGTGGATTGATAGTAAGTTGACTAGTTCTAATTATGTATAGAATAATAGTAAGCTGACTAGTTCTACTTGTGTATGGATTGATAGTAAGTGACTAGTTCTAATTATGTATGGATTGATAGGTTGACCAGTTCTATTTCTCTATGGATTGATAGTAAGTTTACTAGTTCTAATTATGTATGGATTAATAGTAAGCTGACTAGTTCTACTTGTGTATGGATTGATAGTAAGCTGACTAGTTCTACTTGTTTATGGATTGATAGTAAGCTGACTAGTTCTACTTGTGTATGGATTGATAGTAAGCTGACTAGTCCGAATTATGTATGGATTAATAGTAAGCTGACTAGTTCTACTTGTGTATGGATTGATAGGTTGACTAGTTCTATTTCTCTATGGATTGATAGTAAGTTTACTAGTTCTAATTATGTATGGATTAATAGTAAGCTGACTAGTTCTATTTGTGTATGGATTGATAGTGAGTTGTCTGGTTCTACTTCTATATGGATAGATAGTGAACTGACTAGTTGACAATTGGGTTGATAGTAAACTAACTAGTTCTGCTTCTGTTTGGATTGATAGTAGGTTGACTAGTTCTACTTCTATATGGAATGATAGTGAGTTGACTAGTTCTACTTTTGTATGGATTGATAGTAAGTTGACTGGTTCTACTTTTGTATGGATTGATAGTAAGTTGACTAGTTCTACTTCTGTATGGATTGATAGTGAGTTGACTAGTTCTACTTCTGTCTGGATTGATAGTGGGTTGACTGGTTCTACCTCTGTATGGATTGATAGTAAGCTTACTAGTTCTGCTTCTCAGTGGATTGACAGATGTCAGTAAGGGAAATGCAGCACTAAACACCGGCATGGTAACTCCATTTCACAGACAGTTGTTGGAACCTTTCCATCTTTCCAAATGATAGTGTTATATTGTGTGATGAGGATGTATGAGAATCAAAGCCCGTGACCATGGTGAGTTTGACTAGCAAGGCATGTGTGTGTGACCAATT